GGGAAAAGAAAAAATATGAGAAAAGCAAAGAAAAAATGGAGACAAAGTCTTTGTAAATAGGGAAGGGTGGAGGGGGGAACAGGAGGCCAGGGGAATGGGGAAAAAATAGAATCAAGGTACATCATGTAAATGTATAAGATACCACTGATAAATATAACTGTATTTTATACCTAAAATGTACCAATAAACTTAAGAAAAAAAAACAAGACTTATAAACACCTCAGATTGGGCACAGAGAAAGAGGAATAAACAGGGACACTTTCTCTTTGTTTCTTTTCAAAATTAAAAGACACTGTCACACAGCAGAGTAATCTGTAGTTTTGGCAGGCTTTCTATCCTTACCATTTGGAATACATACTTAGCTCCAAAGCGTATCTTCCCAAAAGCTGGCCCAAGCAGCCCCCTGGAAATGGTTGAAATTACCTTTTACAATCTGTTCCCTTAAGGGGAACAGATCCATGTTTGTAACAAAACAATAATTTTGGCTATTGAGTGTGTCTATCACAACAACAAGGAGAAGCCTATATAACTGGCTATTCCAACCAGATAAATCATTAGTCTTAGATCCTTCTTAAAAACAGCCTTTGTTTTCACACATATAAAAAGGATTTTTTCCTTCTGACTCTTATTACAAGAGGTATGTGTTATCTGATGCTCTAAAGGAAAAGATCTGGTCAGTGTATTTACAGTTACAACCCTAAAAATTGTAAAAGGCTTGCTCTAATTCAATCATGTCAGTACATCTGAGAGTATACTCCAATTTAAAGTAATTGTTTTGTGTTTACATGTTTGTCCATTTGTCTGTTTAATGTGTATTAATAACTGGTTAAAGTATCTACACCTACTTTATTTAAGAGAGATATTTTTTGAGCTGAACATTTTTAGGTTATTTTTTATATTTCCATAGATATGCATTTGAATGGGTTTCCATGATAGACAACAAACTCATATAAAACATTACCAGATAAGTTGTATCTGGCTTGAGGCTTATATAAGAATAAACACCTTAACATTTGATTGCAAAAAGTTGCATGAGATTCAGGTTAATATGTATGTTTCTCTGTGTTAAATGTACATTATCCTCCAAAACTTGTACTATGCAATCTTACAGATAAATCCACACTCAAGACATTTTCTCTAATACTTGTGGTTCATATATCTTAATGGTCTAATGTAAATTATTTAATAAGAGTCAAGATGTCTTTAAAGTTGATAACAGATCTTCATCCAGGTACTCAAATAACCAAGATAATATCAACAATTGGTTTTCTTCCAGGATTTACCTCAGTGGTTCTGCTGCCTGCCTGGCAAGTGCAAGGTCCTGAATGCAGTGCCTATCATTGTCTCGGTATCATAACTTGAGAGGTTTTCTTGTTCAAAGATAATATATATAGCATTAAAAAATGTTAACTGCTATGGTGAGCCCTCTAGAGTAAATTTTGGCTATAATTAAAAGGTTAAAACTTCTAAGTCTATAACAGTGTGGTTGTCTAAAAATATTGAGATGCTCTTGGTTAAACTTACAAAACTAGATTTAAAAACAAAGATTCTATATTTCACTTAAATAGTATCATGTGTTCTTATTGTTAGGTTCTGGTTATTGAAAAGTGAGTTTTTATTATTAAAGAGTATTTAAATGTTAACCTGTGAAATGTTTTTAATAATCATTTTGTCATTCGTTAAATAAACAATTATCACGTTAGTTTATGATATAATCTATTTTGAACTTACACCTGTGCATATAAAAAAATTAAGTTATGCTATAGTAGTTAAATAAACAACTGTTACCTTAGTTTGTGATAAATTTATATTTTTGAAATTATATATGTATATGTATATATAAACAGGTATACTCTGGGTCTAAGTTTAAACAAGTTTATTGATTTAAGATTACATAAATTTAATACAAAGAAAGTGACTAATAGGCACTCTCATATACAACATAAGTTTGGAACATAAATGTATTAAATTATCAAAATCTGACATCTCTTTAAATTTTGTCTTGGCATTTAAACTTGATATGCTTTGATTGGCTTTGATTGAATAAGGATTTTTATTATTCAGTGCATGCAGTGCACTTCTACACTAGATAACAAGACTAATTGTGCTTGTCAACAAGATGTCCAAAACTTACAGAGAGGTAAAGGTGTACTTAATTTTTGTCAATATGTATATATCTTATAAAACCTATTAAAGGAGTGTAAAGATTGGGTAAGAGTAAAAAAGTACAGATTTCTATATAATTATGATACCAATTATTGCTAAAATTATAGAATATGAAATGATACATTGGCACTTTTCAAGTGTACAGAGGGTCACAGATACAAACCTGAAAAATGTCTTATCACACTGGTGTCAATCAAAGTTATTATTGCTTAAAAGCAGGCTCTGCATGAGGCTGATTTCCCCAATTCACCTTCCTATTCTAGTGCTCAGGAATTAATTGTATGTTGTTTAATCTTTTGGACAAAATTTCTTCATTTTTCTCTAGAGGCTGCCACAGTCCAAATGATCATGCAGGTAGAACCAACAATAAATGTGCCAGACTCCTTTCACCAGGATCCACTAGATTGAAATTACAAAGGAAGTGCTAAACCCAAAATTACTCTTATGCAAGGCCCATCAGATTAGCTTTCTGGAGAAAGCCCTTGACTGTAATATGCTCAACCCTTCTCTGTTAAAAGCAGCCAGAATGAAACTTGCCCATTCTAACTGCAGTTAGGAATATCACAATCAGGGGGCCATGTTATAGGTACCAAAATTATGAAAAACTCAGGGAAATGAAAGATAATAACAGCATAACTGTAGCTAGAGGCACATCTGAAGAAGACCAGGCCTTAATGCAGTGGCCAGGCCAAATGCCTCCTTCAAGGATAAGCAGTAACTTGGAATTCTACTCTGATTAGCACCATTGGACCAGGAGTCCAGACAAGCATTAGTTCCACAGGTGGGTGAACATTTGGACCCATCACTCCCCAAAACGTCTTTGTTCTTTCCATGTACCCTTGCTATATGACATGCTTTCCTACTGGATCAATAATAGATAAGCAGCTATATGTACTTTTAGTCCCATAGGTTGATTATAGTTTGCAGCATGTTGGACCCAAATTGTGATTTTGCTTTATAAATTACCCCTGACAAAGGTCTATAATCTTTCCTACACTGAACTTCCATTATTCCTTGGCATTTGTTCTTTGATTTCAAGGCAAATAAACTCAGTGGATCTGACATCTAGCAGGTTAGGAGTTATATCACATAGTCTTTAACGTCCTCAGGTTAATATCAAGAGCTGCAAAATATGGGGTATAAAATAAATCCCAATTTTCAGTTAAGAATATATTATTAAAAATAAAATGTACTTTGCTTTTGATTTGGGTGATTTTATACGTTAGAATTTAAATAACTCTCACCACACAGAGTCCAAGGAAGTCTGAGAAGTGGAGATGAGGAACCTGACTCATCTCATCCATGAGACAGGCTGTGGGTTCACTGATTTCAATCACAGAAAGATGAATTGTCAGTAAAATATGCATAGATATTTATTATGCAGAATTATAATAGTACACATTCAAGAAACAGAATGTCAGCCTTCAATAGACAGAGAAGTGTAGTATGGCCTAGACATAGGTGCACATGTAGGGTCATTGGGTGGAAATCTGTGGAACTTGCAGATCTGCGGGAAAAGGTGATTAAATTATAGAGGAAATGGACAACTCTTTGCAGGAAAAGGAAATGAACCATTGCTATCTGTAGCCATCACAGGTGATAGAGCTGTGTCCTATTCATAAAGGAGAGAGTTGGAACAGTGAATTATGCTGCCTATCTACTTCCAGAAGCCTCTGTGAGCCAAGCAACTGAGGGTAGACTATCCACCTGTATTACATGGTCAAGTGTGAATGCATGAAAAGCACCAGGATCATTAAAGGCAGCAAAAATATGGACAAAGAACTTAACTTTTTCCTGGGGGGTTCCATGTGCTGAGCCATGTGGGCTGGAGTTTTCTGATATTTTCCCAGAACTATAGGAGGAGAGTCAGCAGCGACAGTTGATGCTTGTCTTTCAGGGATAGGTGAGCTGAGATAGTGAGAAAGCTGGCCAGATACTTCACAAAATCACCCAGGTGGGCAGAGTTACCTGTAAAGGAAGAGTGTAGGTAGTAAAAGTTGGGGCATGGTTAAGGTTCATTTTTCTACTGCAGTGCAACATTGTGGTAACCATGGCAGATCACCAAAGGAGCTTCAAAGTCACAAGGTTACACATTTTCCATCAGCAAACATTTCACATCTTTGTGACCTAAAAGGGAACTGCTAGGGATTCTACGTATATTCCTCTTCGAAAGCCAACTCCCTATTTGATCTCAACTGATCTAAAAATGAGGAAAATAGATGCCATGTGCTTATTCTCATTTTTATATGGCCATTGTGAATATTTCTGCTCTTCAACATCCTGACACATCCTCACTTTACCTTAGCACTCTACCTCAAACATTTTAGGGAAATCACTGTTGATTTTCCTTGCTTTGATCCTGCTGATTTAAAGAAAAAGGCCAAAATACCGTGTTATAGTAATAAATTGCTTTAAATTTATGAGTTAGAATGCTATATATCTGAAAAAATATTACAAAACAATGAATAACACTTTAAATTACTAAATTTTACGTCATGAGTTTCAAGATTCCCTTTAAGCTGTGTAGCTACTATATCCTTAGATATGTGTCACGAGACAGTCACCTGACATTTGCCACTGTTCTTGCATTTTTTTTATGTTGCTTACATAATGCAGCTGCCTGAAACATACTGGTCATGGAGTCCAAGCCAGCTGAAATCACTTAACCTTAACAGAGAAATTAAATGCTCTTATAAAATCATATCATTATTTACATTTGCCTTTTCTATCTGCTATCAGTCCTCATGCTTTATCCATTTGACATATGTACTTTGGTCAGTCCAAGTTATCTTTTAACTTTTGGTTAACTTCCCACTGAATATAAGCATGAGCAATGAAAGAAGGTAGCACAATTTGAAAGGAAGTACTTCAGCTTACCAAGATGTCTATGAAATGGATCTCAGCTCTGCTGCTGCTGCAGTTGGATTGTTATTTCAGTTTTGGAAGCTGTGGAAAGGTGCTGGTGTGGCCGATGGAATACAGCCACTGGATGAATATGAAGAACATAGTAGAGGAACTTATCCAGAGGGCACATGAGGTGACAGTCCTGAGACCTTCAAGTTTCATTTTTGTTGATGTGAATTCATCATCTGGAATTAAATTTGAAACATTTATTACATCCACCAATGATGATCAACTGGAAGACATTTACATTGAAAGTGTCAATAAGTGGATGAGTGTTGGATCAATAGATACATGTTTGGCATATTTTCCAGTGTTGGAAGACACTATTAGGGACTATTCTGCTATTTGGGAGAATATTTGTAAAGATGTAGCTTCAAACAAGAAGCTTATGACAAAACTCCAAGAATCAAGATTTGATGTCCTTCTTGCGGATCCCATTGCTCCCTGTGGTGAGCTGGTGGCTGAGCTTCTAAAAATACCTTTTGTGTACAGTCTCCGCTTCTCTCCCGGCTTCCAAATGGAAAAACATGGAGGAGGGCTTATAGTTCCTCCTTCTTACGTACCTCTTACTCTATCAAGACTAAGTGGTCAAATGAATTTCATAGAAAGGGTAAAAAACATGATATGCCTGCTGTATTTTGACCTTTGGTTTGGAACATTTAATGAGAAAAACTGGAATGAACTTTACAGTGAAATTTTAGGTTAGTCATGATTTTATGTAGTGGAGTGAGGTCTTTATTATCTTGTGTCTTTGCAAGTGAGCTTGGATGAATATAAAATAAGAGAACTTTATTATATGTACATGATAAAATAAAAAGTAAAATTATTTTTCAATCTGACAAATATAGTAGAAATATTTACATTATATGATCACATTGCAGCCTTTTCCTGTAACTGTATAGATCACTCTAAGGAGGTCAGACAATTGCACAGTGAAACATTCAGGCTCTAACTTTGCAATTTCATATAAATTTGACCCTCTTTTCATTTTACAATAAAAGTCATTAGGCACCTACCTAATGTCTTTGTGAGTGAAGACAAGTAGATTGAAGAGTTATGTTTCTATTTTATTTTATTTGTTTTATTGAGTTTATTGGTACATTCTAGGTATACAATACAGAAGAGTTATGTTTCTAGCAAAAAAAAAAACTGATAGCATTGAGGAAATAGTTTTCTCATCATTAGATCAACTTCTTTATGTAAAGTGCTGTTTTCTTCTCTACTGCCTAAATAATACTTTCACTTTTGTGAAATACAGTTTTTTATCCCAGACTCAAAAATTGTAATTTGAATATTCTAATAATTCAGTATCCTGTGATTGGTCTTTACCAATCATCTATTTTAAACATTTAAAATATGTAGAAATATGAACATAGAGGTACTGATTTTTAATCATGTTTTTTATTTGCAAAAATAATGACCCACAGTCAAGTATAAGCACTAATATCTGTTCCTGTAATTTTTGCAAGTTTTATGAGATGTTTGCAAGTGCTTGTAAATAATGAATTCTTACTATTACACTCTTAATATGAACTCAAAATAATGGCAGGTAAAAGAGGTACAGCCATACGCTTACGGAAATCCAGTTGACTTGGATCAGTTATTAATTTGGTAAGTGCTAGAAACTATGGACTTCCTAAAAAATTTCTTCTATGATTACAGTGCAATTCACTGCTCCAGTGGTGCAGTCATTTAGTGTGTGGTACTTACAAGTCTATGGTATGATTATTTGACTAAGAAGCTAGAATATTTGTTTATATTTGTGCCTATTATTTTGGCAGCTTTGGAGAAAAAGTAATTCATGCTTAATTTTATAATATGTATTTTAATGACTATGATTGGGGATAAACTGAGGTAATATTATAGACAAAGTTTCTTTTCATTCTGTCTTCTGAGACATAATTGAACCATACATAAAATATAAAAAAATTATCATTCATCTATAAATATATTTTTGTCAATGAAATTTATACATTATTCCCACATTTAAAAAAATACACTGTAGATGCACTCAACAATTCTGTAATTCTCCGAACTTTTCTAATTTTTTCTCCTTCTCTACATAGGAAGACCCACAACATTACATGAAATAATGGGAAAGGCAGAAATGTGGCTCATTCGAAGCTACTGGGATTTGGAATTTCCTCGGCCCAGCTTACCAAATTTTGATTTTGTGGGAGGACTCCACTGCAAACCTGCCAAACCCCTGCCTAAGGTAAATACATTACTGTCTTTAGTTTTTCTTTTATTTTCTGTGAGGATGCTCTGCACTAGTCATTGAGAGTCTTAACTCACCATGCAAAAAGGTGTGGGGAAAAGGCAGAAGTGCTTTGGCAAGTAAAAACTCTTATTTCAGGTGTGCATGGTAGCATTCACCTGTAATCCTAGAGCTCCAGAGGCTAAGGCAAGGAACCAATACTTCAAGTAAGCCTGGGAAACATGGCAAACTGAAGGTCAACCTTGATTGCATAAGAAGACCCTGTTAAAAAAATTATTGTGGGACCAAGGACTCAGCTCAGTGGTGCCTCTGCCTGCCTTGAAAGTGCAAGGAGCTGAGTTTGATCCCTGATACCAACCAAACAAGCAAACAAACACAAATTATTGTACTTCTATTTCATTACAAGTATTTGCATTTTGTTACCATTACAAGAAGAACCTGAGATGCCTAGGAGGTAGAATCCATTAAATCATGGTCTTCATTATTTTATGTTATCATTTTTTCATTCATTTAAAATCTATGAAGTAACTAATGTCTATCATTAGTAAATGTTAGATAAGCATAGAAACAACATAGACATTATATTGCATTGCCCAGACACCATGTGTATTATTTGGAAAATCACAGTGTAATTAAATAATAAAAATGATCAGAAATATATTTTAAAAGTTAAGCATTATAATCCTAGAAAACTTTTAGTTGGGATTATAAACTATCCTATTTTAGTTGATAATATTACAAAATGAACAGGTGCAGGAATAGGCCCACTGATGAGGATTGGGAAAGATACAAAACAGAGAAGGTGCTAAAATAGCAAAAAACAATTTCCAAGAACTGCAAGCTTATTTTATCAGGATGTTAATTTTGCTAAATGGGGAATTTAGAACTGGATAACAAAGGCCAAAATATCTGTCAAGCCTGTAGGGTATCTCAAGAAAGTTCCCTCTTGTGATATAATCTTGGCATCAATGTTATCTGGTAGGAAAGCAGAGAAAAGTCCATGGAATATGAACTAAGTGACTCATACTTCCAATGACTTCTCTGAAATTCAATTAGATGTGAAATACGAAAGAATTCTGGAGTGTAGAGAGCAACATACCTTATGAAGGGACACAAAAATCTGATGTTTTTAAGTTCACATTATACTTCTCAGATATATGTAGAAGCTTAATTTTTCCAGAATATATACATGATATTTTAAGAAATCCTTTTACTCTCTCATTAGCAGCAATATGAAACTAAAACCTGATTATGTGGTAAAAACCCAACATCCTCTCTGAATGTAATTTTTCTAGACTGTGCAAGAATTCCACAAGTCAAATATTTGAAGCATTGTTTATGTATATACTAATCTATATACCCACACACTTTAAAGATTGTTTTTTTTAAAAGGCAAGTTTTAGTATGGGCAGAAAATAAAAGAAGCAGAGTAAGAAGATAAAAAGAATAAAAATGTTGTAATGGCCAAAATTGCTAATAAGAGTTGTTATTACATTGCACAAAACAGAAATATAGAAATCAAGTCTTAACAGCATTTATATCCTTTAGCTATGTAGCATACTCATTTGAATGTATGCAAAGAAAAATAATCAAGATGCACAAATTTAATCAATCTAGTAATCATTTATAAAAATAATACCTGGAAGTAACCTAAACATCTGAAATTAGAAAATGATTAAATTAGAAAATATACATCTAACATACCTTTATAATTGCTTTACCTAAGAATTATTGATAACACTGTCAGCCATAATAGAAACTTCAGATTAAATAATATATATGTGTATATATAAGACCCAGTAGTTGTTCCAGGAAAAAAAAATTCAATAACAATAAATCAGCCATAGTAATATTGTGAGATGAAAACAAAGGAAAATATAATTCATATAGTCACTCTCTTTTTCTAGGATAAAATGGAAACATAAATGAGAACTACAATTTTCTGAAGTTTGTCATGTAAAATACATTAAATATAAAGCTTTAATTGTATAAGATAGAAGTGACATACTGACTGCACAAAAATATCGCCAGCATTACTCCTTGGATAACTTCAACTGAAATGCTGAAGATGGTGAACTTTGTCTTCCCTGTATTTTACCAGAGCCGCTCCACTAATTTCTATTAATTGTTGATTTATCATTTTTTCAAATTACAAAGTTTTGAATAGAGTTAGCTGTGGTGCTTTGTTGTTGTTGTTGTCGTTTTGTTTGTTTTGTTTTTTAAGGAGCCAATTCTGTCTTCACAGGAAGTGGAAGACTTTGTGCAGAGCTCTGGGGAACATGGTGTCGTGGTGTTTTCTCTGGGGTCCATGATCAGCAGCATGACAGAAGAAAGGGCCAATGCGATTGCTTCAGCCCTTGCACAGATTCCACAAAAGGTTGGCAAAGTGTCTCATTGGCAAACATCCACTAAAGGAGTCACTAAACTCTGAAAATGCTTGATTTAAGAAACTTGCTCTACTTACTTGTGGGATTGGTGAAGTCACTGTATACATTAGCAATGTTTTCATAAAGAGTTAAATTTTACTTATTAATGTACTATTATAATAACATTAGGCAGGTATTGAAAAGGGTTTGGAATAAAGCATGCATGTTAGGATTTCCATGACCTCTTAGCCTCTTTTTGGAGTTTTTTAGTGTACATTTGAGGGGGATATTCAGAACAGAGAAAAGCAAAGGAGTCAATTCAGGACCCATGTACTCACCCAGGCATGTTAATTTTAAAAATGAGAAAAACTAGTATGAGTGGGCCCTACTCATGTCTGAAGCAGGAAGATGTAAGAAAATAAAGTAGAGTTGGCTTCACACCTTGCGGTGGAACCTGCGTATTGCAAAATATGCTTCCCAAGAACTCTTCTTTTATCCAATAAGTTTCATGTCCTCCCAATCAAGAAAGTAAAAGGGAAATAAGAGTCAAAGAGAAAAATGCCTGTTTTGGGAAGATGTTCAGTTGCCTTTTCTATTATAAAAATAGGGATTAATATTCTACTGTACCAATTTCATCTTCAGTCTTTGAATAGTTGTGAACTACAATATATTTTAGTTACTGTCATAAAGCAATTTTGAAATTTCATTTCCTAATTTTTAGCTGAGAATCTTCAGTTACTTTCAACACTCCCACAGTAAATATAGCTCAAATATTTGTAAGTGATGCTCCTGTTTAGAAGAGCATGGAATTTTAAACCCAGTTCTCATTTGAGAACAGGGTAATGAAGTTGTAGGGCAATGGAAGACCATGATAATCTCTGCTGTCAATACTTTGTACTGAATTGTGAAAGAATAAAGAATTACTGGAAGCAAATATAATTATTTAAAAAGATGAATTTCTATTTAAAAGCTACATTACTTATGAACTGCCAATAAAATCTATTCCCCAAGTGTTATGTCCAATCCTAACAGTAGTGATAATACTATGGATTCTTCTTGAGAATGCCAGTTGAAACTTTTCCTATAATTAGAGATTCATAGTTTCTAATACAAGATAAATTAAATTTACTTTACAAAACCAATTAAATTATTTCTGACAAAAGCTGATTTTGTGGATTAGGTAGTTTACACATCAAAAATTATATTCTATGAATAAAACTCTAATAAAATAGCTTCTGAAACAAGACATTATGAACAAATTATAATGATAATTTTAAAAATTGCTTTGTATTAACATTAGAGTATCATAAACATGTATATAAATGAAGATGCAAACCATTAGACATTTTTATTCTTTATGAAAATTTATGATTGCATAGCAATTTCTGATATATTTTAATAACACATAGCATCTTAGTTTTGTAAGGCACTGTGTGTAAAATATGATTACATTCAAAATAATTAAACATGAAATAAGTATAGAAAATATTTGTATTCTCTTTGTCTCAGTCCTTTTGCAGTTCTTAATATTTAGTCTCCTTGTCCTCATTTAAAAAACATATTCAATGAAAGATACTTAACTTGGTGATCTCCAAATTTTAAAATTCAACATATATAATAAAGCAGTCTTTACCTAACAGGTTCTTTGGAGATTTGAAGGCAAGAAACCAGATACCTTAGGATCCAACACTCGGTTGTACAAGTGGCTTCCTCAGAATGACCTACTTGGTAAGATGCTGAAGAATGAATACTGAAAACCTAAAACCATAGGGATGGTGGTAGCTCAAGATGGAACACACCAGGGGACATCTGTTGTTAGAAAATCAAAACTAAAACCAAACTTCATTGTATATTTGCAGTCTTAGGGGAAGCAAAATGAATTGCAGTACTTGATTTTTGTTATCCAAGGAAACAAATACTAAGTCTTCAGTTCAAATCTATTTGCTTCCCAGAGAAGATGTTAAACTAATTTCTAGGGTTGTCATGCACCTGTCCTTCCACAGAAATAGGGCATTACAAATATTACTCAAATTATTACTTGATTTGTTTTCACTGATGCTGTACTTTTATTGTGAAAAATCCACATTTTTATCATGACTTAATATCACACTTTGTTTTACACCAATATCATATCTTGCTGACTTGCACAACTTTTATATCAAATGTAGGGAATGAACCTACTCTTTAAGAAAACGAGTTCTAATACAAACATCATCCTTCTATGGCAATTTTATCACATTATATAAACTTTTCTTGGCAATCAGGTATTTATTGCTGCAATCAGATGCCATATCTGGCAAGTAGCACATACTTTCTTTTCCCCTGGATTAGGTGCATCTTTCTCTGAGATATGAAAGCAATATCACTGCAATTTCATTGATACACAATCTTCATCGATAAAACAACATCACTTTCAGTGACTCATATTGTTCATTTCTTATCGTGTTTCTAAAATTTATAATTATTCTGCTGACACTCACCTAATTTTAGGTCATCCCAAAACGAGAGCTTTTGTCACTCATGGTGGAGCCAACGGTGTTTATGAGGCGATCTACCATGGGATCCCTATGGTGGGCATTCCTTTGTTTGCGGAACAGCATGATAACGTTGCTCACATGAAGGCTAAAGGAGTAGCTGTTAAAGTGGAATTCATGACAATATCAAGTACAGAACTGCTAAACGCACTGAAGAAGGTCCTTAACAGCCCTTCGTGAGTACAAACTTCTTTTTAAAAAAAACTTCATAGTACTTATTGATTAAGATTTTATTTTTTTTGTTTTTGTGTTTGTTTTTGTACCGGTGATCGAACTCCGGTCCTCGTGCTTGCCAGGCAGGCGCCAGAACCACTGAGCTAAATCCCTGGCTCAGATTAAGTTTTTAAATGAAAGCCACAGAAGCAGTGATGAGTCTGAAATAAAAATATTGAAATACAAATGTGCTTAATGCTGAAGACATCATGAGTAACAAAGTGAGAATGTAGCAATACATTTTTTGAGTGTTGCTACTTGAAAAATTTATTAAAGGTTAAGCAAAGTGCAAGCTTTTGATATAGCCTGTAAATGGAATGAGAAAAGTCAGTGAGGAAGGTTCAAAGGAATTTCAAAAAATACGAGGTAAGCAGTAAACAGGAATTTGGATGTTATAAGGGTTCTATCCATTCCATTTATCTATTAATTCACAACAGAGAAATTTATGAAAAGACAACAAATAACAGTTAGTAGAGTATTCAAAACAACTAATCTTTTTTATATTTCTGATTATTAATTCATTCATAAACTTACAATACTGGTTTCTGTTCAATATTGTAAGCCTTAATAAGGTTACTCACACATGTATTATGAACTATAGCAAGTATTTGCCTTTGTCTCTGAAGTTTGGTACTGATTTTGACTTTGGACCATAGGTCTATTAACATTCCATTTGTTTGTTTATTTGTTTTTTGCATTTGATGCATTCAGTTTTATGACCTCTAAAAATTTGCATATTAACATTTCTAAATATTCTAAATGTATTCATTTCCTTCAGCTATAAGGAGAATGCTATGTGGTTGTCAACCATTCACCACGATCAGCCCATGAAGCCCCTGGACAGAGCAGCCTTCTGGATCGAGTTTGTCATGCGCCACAAAGGGGCCAAGCACCTGAGGCCACTTGCCCATAACCTCACCTGGTACCAGTACCACTCACTGGATGTGATTGGGTTCCTACTGGCTGGTGTGGTGACCATTACTCTACTTGTTGTAAAATGTTGCTTCTTTATTTCTCGGAAATTTTTGAAGATGAAAAAGAAGAAAAAGAGGGAGTAGAGCTCCTTCTGATGAAATGCATTGTAAATGAGACCACCTCGTTTTACTCAACCACCATGGACGAAAACATCACAAACTGAACCTCCATGTTTACAACACCATTGCCTTCTTGGTTTACCAATATATTGTAATCCTTGGTAAGGAATGTGCAATTCTAATTTCAGACTTACTATAATAATTCTACTTTAGTGCTGACATATATTTTATCATAAATCTTAAAATAATGAGAGCCCCTGAAATCTGTTGGTTTGAGAAAAGCAGGAAGCTGAAAACTTTGATACATTTTCAGAAACATTTTCTATTTCAATAAAATGTGACCCACTGGACCTTTTGTGTATGTCAATGAGCATAAGAGGCAGATATTAGTTAATGACAACAAAACAGATCTGATTCAGATGACTAAAGTAGAGAGAAAGACTTCAATATAAACTGAGCTCAACTCTTACTAAGACATATATGACTACTACCTTCATGGAAATAATAAGAGACTGGGGAAATGAAGAAAGGAAGCCAAGGGGACCTAGTGAGCTGCATGAAAGTGGAAAAACTGTAGAGGAAGAAAATAGAAATTTTCTGAAAATGGCCTGTCAAATGGCATTGAGCAAAACACTGCTAGAAGTTTGGGAGAATCATGTTTTCATAAGCAAAGATGCAATAGAAAGGGTAGGATGGTCTGTAGGTACATAATCCATAATGTAGGGCAGATACAAGGCATGGTAAATTTAGTGAATTTCAAAGCACATTGTTAAGGCACATATTTTATCCTGTAATAAAGTTAACAGTGAACATCACTTAAATACCAAATATCACCTGTGCAATTTCTACCTATTCCCCAAATTTCTGTTTGTCCTAACCAGCTTTCCTGTGGAAAACTTGTAATGATGATGTATTTGCTTCAAAGGATGAAGGAACTTTTCTACATCTGGCCTTGAGTATTCTCTAGTCGATATTTTTGTTTTATTGTGATATCCTATATATCTAGAGAGTAAGACAAAAAATGGAGGAAATATGTTCCTTTAGGTAGAAGTATTAGCTGAGGCTCTGAGTGTTAGTTCTGCACCACTAGATTATAATATTACATTGCCTTCCTCCTCCAATCAGATGTCTAATCTCTCACCTTGTGTTTTAGTCAGATGCTTCTACTACTTCAAGTCATAAGACACTTTGGACATAAAACCAGGAATTCATATTCCTTTTGCATTTACTCTCCTCTCAAACACATAGGAAAAAAATGAAGATGGAACAAAGGGCCAAATATTGTGTATGGCAAGTTTTAAGTTCTAAACTCTAAAATGCAACCTAAATTGCAAAGGTTTCCACATCTTGTCTTTAAATATCTACAGTCATCCTCTATGAATACACAATATACTATACAAATGGATAGGTAATACACAACCCATAGAAAGGAAAGAAACTAAGAGCAGTTCTTCTGCTCAAAAAGAGTTATGTTTAAATAGCTGGTTCAGATAGAGAGTAACTATCATTTTTGACATAGGAGGAAATTTTAAAAACACATGTACAATTAAATTACAAATAATTGTCAGCGAAGCATATCATGGTAATGTCAACAAGTGACAATGATTTTTCTTTACTAAACTTTGTATGTATATAACCTCTAAAAAGAGAAGAACATTATCCATAAACATTATTCTAAGCAGTGATGAGACTGGATGTGTACTAGCTGAGCCAAATTGCAATCTCTTCTTTTTATTTCTTAGTAAAATACTTTTTGAATATTAATTGAATTTGTTGAACTATATCTTCTTCACAATTATTAGATCATGGAGCTTGTGCTCACTTTGGCAGCACATATACTAAAATCGGCATAATCTAGGTCATGGAGCTAGCTGCAGAACGTTAACCCCTCATATGTGGTCAAATAATTATTTAATTTATCTTTATTTTAATTTTGTTAAAACTACAGCTTCATTAAATTAAAATTGGCATACCTCACCATTTATAGCCTTAAAGCTGAAAATGCAGTTAATTTAAGCTCATCGACAAATTGTACAACCATTGCCCCAAATGAAGTCAGATCATTTTTTGTTATCCAAAAAGAAAGAAAGAAAAAATAAAGACTCTCTACCTATGAGCTACCTTCTCCCAGACCCCGCTACCTAAAACGAGGCAATCACAGATTCTGACGTTATCTTAATAGATTTTTCCTATTCTAGAAATTTTCTTTTTTAAAAATTTAAAATAGACCATGATTATAACAACAATAAAGACTTTCACATATTCACAGAAAAAGAAATCCTGAAAAGTGATCTCTCAAACATATCAAAGTGAAACTAGAAACTGACAACAAAAACATACTTAGTACAAGATAACATTTTTTGGCCTCTCTCTTTTTTCTAATTAATGTTTCTTCATATAAGGAAACTGCATATTGTTCAACAATGTGCATATGATTTACTTCACTTAAAATATGGTCTCAAGATTCATCCATTTTCTTAGAATTTCCTCAATTTTTTATCTTTTTTAAAAAATTCATTAATTTTATTGGTATATAATTTTAGGTATATGGTTCAGTTACATTCATCATTTGGATCTTGTACCTTCACATAATATATCTTGGTTCTTACTTTTTCCCCATTCCCCTGCCCTCCTTTCAACTGCTCCACCCCTCCCTATTTATAAAGACTTTCCTCCCATTTGGTGCTTTTCTCATATTTATTCCTTTCCCTTCTTTCCTTTCCCCAATCCCTCCCACTTGCCCTTCCCCTTTGGACCTTATCTTTCTTTTTCACATTATTTGTTATACATTTTGATCCTTTTTACCCTTTCAATTTCTCACACTAGAAAAACTATTCAACATTTTGACATGTGTCCTATTTAATTCACTTAAGAGTATGACTTGTTTACTTCTACTTAGCTATAAATGTCCCTAGTTTCACATTCTTTGTGGTAAGGCAGAATGTTTCTCTATTGTGTGTAAATACCACATTTTCTTAAACTATTCATCTTCTGATGGGCATATATGCTGTTTCTAAGATTTTGCTGTTATGATTTTGTTGCTATAAACATGAATATGCATACATCATGTGGTATGAACCTTTTAAATCTTGTAGAACCATATCTACATAGGGATAGCTGTGTAAAATGTAATTTCTAGTTTTAGCATTTGAAGACAGTGATTTGCATAGTGATTATATCAGTTTATTCTCCGATCAACAATGAAGAAGGTGCCGTTCTCCCTATGGCTTCATCAGCATTTGTTGATTGATTTCTTGATGATAGCCATTCTTCCTGGACTGAGAAGGAATGCTGATGTTGTTTTAATTTGCATATCTTAAATGGCCACTTAGAAAAACTGGAAAAGAAACAGAGGTAAGAGATCTACAGACAGCTTTTTGTTTTAATCTTGTTGAGTTTATTGGTACTTTTAAAGTATACCATACAGTTACCTTCATCATTGGGATCTTGTACATGACAGATTTTGGTTCTCATTTTTTTCCGCATACCACTTCCTTCCCTTACCGCTCTGTCCTTAGAGACCAGATAGATCAGCTGACTCTTGCACAGGCTAGAAGGTCTTTTATAGTAGTAGGAAGCATAAAAAAGAGGCTGTTTTAAAAAGTCACAATGATACTTATGAGAGGAAGAGTTCAATAGAAAGCTGTTGTGGCTATTTGCCTGACACGGGGCTTGAAAACAAACAAGGATTTGCATTTTGTTAAGAGAATGGCTGAGTAATGATTGAGAAATATAAAAAGTAGCTGTGCTTACTGGGCTTTATCAATCCGTGTCTATTCATATGTACCAGATAAAAAGCATATAAAAACATCTCTTCTCGGACCAAGATAGGGGTAGTCAGATTCTTTCCTTCACCACTGTTGTTGAACATTCTTTCATGTGTATACACACACACACACACACACACACACACATATATTTTTTTGGTACATGGGATCAAACTCTGGACCTTGTGCTTATGAGGCAGGGACCACTGAGCTAAATCTCTAGCCCATTCTTTCATGTATTTATTGGTAATTTGTCTTTAGCTGAGAAATGTCTATTCATTTTAAATGCCCATTTTTTGACTGGATCTTTAAGTTTGGGGGTGTCTAATTTCTTCTGAGTTCTAGATGTTAGTCCTTTGTCTAAGGAGTATTGGGCCAAAATATTTCTTGTTCTACAGGTTGTCTCTTCACTTTGTTGGTTGTTCCCTTTGCTGTGCAAAAACTTTTAATTTAATGTGATCTCATTTGCTGATTTTCCATATTATTTCTTGCACCAATAGAATGCTATTCAGAAAGGCTTTGCAATCACCTGTCTTTGAGAGTTTTACCTACTTTTTTTCTGCCAGCCAATTGTTTCTGTTCTAATGTTGAGATTTTTGGCCCATTTTGCTTTTATTTTGTTCTATAGTGCGAAGTATGGGTCTAAATTCAATCTTCAGGATGTTGATAGCCAGTTTCCCCTGGCCTATTTGCTGAAGAGTTTATCTTTCCTCCAGAGAAGATACTTGGTCTTTTTGCCAAAGATCATATAACTGAGTGTGTTTGAAGTTGTACCTGTATCCTCTACTCTGTTCCACAAGTTGGTTTTTTGTGAATACCATTCTGTATCAATCAATATAGTTTTGAGGCATAACTGAAATTGTGATGCACCTAACCATGCCTTTGTTTCCCAGAATTACTTTTGTTATCCTTGGTGTCTTATGGTTCTGCATGAATTTTAGGATTACTTTCTCCAGTTTTGTAAGAAATGTTATTGATATTTTTATTGTGATTGCATTAAAACTATATAAGAGTGTTGGTAGTATGGTCATTTTAACTATATTGACACTGCCTATCCAAAAACGAGGAGTATCTTTCCATTTTCTGATACCCCCTTTAATCTTTTTCTCAATACCATAGAGATTTCTACACTGTAGTGAACTTTCATTTTCTTCATTGTTTACTCTCAAGTATTTCATTTTTCTTAATGTTATTGTGACAGGTATTTTTCTCTAATTTTTCTCTCAGTAAGATTATTGTTGTTGTACAGGAACACTATTGATTTCTGAGTGGTGACTTTACATCCTGGCACACTACTGAGTTTGGTTATTAATTATCATTGTCTTTTGTTAAAGTTTGTAGAGTCTTCTATGTAGAGGATCATGTCACCTGCAAAATATGATAATTTCACTGCTTTATTCCCTATCCATATACCTTTCTTTTTCTTTATTATTGCTTCAGTTAACATTTTCAGAACTACATTGAACAAAAGTGGTGATAGTGGACATTTGTATTTTGTTCCTGAATTTTTAGAGAAAACTTCCAATTTTGCACCGTTATATATGAAGTTTGCCATTGGTTTGTCATAGGTAGCCTTTATGAGATTAAGATAAGGATATTCTATTCCTATTTTCTTTGGTATTTTTACTTGAATGGGATTCTGAATTTTGTCAGATA